ACAATGACCTTTTCTTACTCTTTTTATGCATTTTATTTTTTGAATTTCATTTGGCAGCAATTTGATCTGGACATCTTCTTGCTATGAAATACAATACTTTTTTGCTATGAAATACAATACTTTTTTGTTTCTAGACTATGGTCAAAAGTAACTTTCCTGAAAGGAAGATAAGGTAACTTGAAAAAGCCAAATAAAATTGAGCCCTTTCAGAAATCATTTATAATTAGCCCATGTTTGTGTGCTGACAGCCATTGCTAAAGTTTTTAAAACAGTTGATCCCTTCAAGTGGATGAGGCTTTCCACCTACAATTGTATTTACATCATTCACTTACGTGGGTAGTATGTTTTGATTGGACAGGTGTACAATCCTAGGTGTACTCTAAATTAGTTGAATTTTAAGGAGGTTTTACAAAATACATCTTAAACACTTAAATCAAATAAGAAACAGTTTCCATTTGGGTTTAGTTTGGTGATTATTTTGATGTTTGCATGTGTCTTAATTCAATCATTTTAAAAATATGAATTCAGGTTTATTTAACGTAGACTTCAATTTATGTTATGTGAACAAATTATATACTAAGGCCATGATTTATTTAATTTCAGTATTTGAGTTATTTCCTATGTTCAGCAAGGATGATTCATTTCAGCTACTTTTGGTTTGAGTTTGGTTCCACGTTATACAGTTTATACAATAATCATCTTGAAAAGGTTCATCTTGCATTTAGGAATATTTTTCAATTCACAATAATTTTAGAACTCATAGCTGACAACCCAGGTACACATATCTTTGTTCTAACATAGTGAACACTTTCCAGAATAGTGTAAGAAGTTTATAAAGACGTCCACGGTGAAGGGCAAATGTTTTCTTCCCTGTGCTGGTTTATATCTGGCTTCTCCCCACTTTGTGTCTATTTGAAATGAGACCCAAAGTGAAGATATGTCTCCTGCCAGGGTGCTCTGCCCCCCTCTGGTGGCACAGGGAATTGCCGTTTGCTAATTGTGCACTTACCTCCAGTTACATGTTTTTTCCTCTCACAGAAATGTAGTTCGAAATACTTTATGAAGCAACTGGACAGATCATTAAGAGTTGTCTTGGCATGTCCAAAGGCTTCTAAAATGCACATGACCTGTAGTAGAAGAGAAAATATTATTGAACTCATTTAAAAAAATAAAATTGGGGGACTGATAGCATAGACACAGGGAATATTTTATTATCTGAAAGTTTACACTGTCCATATAATGCCACATAGAGTTTTTAAGGTTAATCTTTCCTCAAATGGAAACTACTAGTATCCTATGTCTCCTGTTGTAGACACTGTTAATAAAATCACGGTACCCAGATTACTTCTTGGCAGTCCACTCTCACTGTATGTAAGTGAAGGAAAAACATTCTCTTTACACACGTGAACCTAAATGTTATTTGAGATTTTAAACTTGAACTGAACAATAGAAGAGCTTTTGCCATTTTGGAGAAGAGTGATTAGAATTAATATAAGCAGTAGTCAGAATTTCTTTTAAAAAATAAATTCACTTAAACATTGGCATACAGCATTCTTTTGAATGCCTTACTTTCCACACATACTATTTTCCCTCTACTGTATTT